TTTTGTCCATCTCTGGTTCCTTTTCAGCAGGATAGTTGTAGTACCAGCCTGGAGTGTCGACCACTGTCAGTCTCCTATTGTGCACTTTAGCCTGATTAATTGCACAGCACACTGTTGTCCTTAATGTCTTTGGTCTATTAACTGCAAAAACTTTTTTGCCCAGAATGAGGTTGCCTGCAGAACTCTTGGCACCCTGTACTCCTCCAATAAGCACAATCCGTATTTCAGTCTTATGTTGTTTCGCATCTAAATAGGAGAGAGCTTGTAAAATTATATTTCTGATTCAAAATCAATCAATCAATAACCTTATAGTTTACATAACAAAGAAAATTTGTTTGAATTCAGCACAGTTCCAGCATGAAATCATTGCATCAGTATACAGACATATTTTTGTAAAGTAATGAATGCATCAGTCAAATAAACATATTGTCCATATTGTCATATTAATTGACTCTAAAATAAGGCATCCATGTAAGATTTTCTTACCTCTAATGCATGCTTGGAGTACTGTTTTTCGTCTGTTTGCTTTTGCACTTCCTGTGTCTTGCTTATCTTCTACGGAGATGCCTTTGTCAATTTGTAAATAATGGCCATTGTTTTGGGCTACCATTTCTTCAATTTTTTCCAGCAGCGTGACCACTTGAGAGCAGTCTGCACAACTTTTAATGTTTAGAAAATGATATCTGTTCTGACATTTACCTACAAGCCACATCATGTCTTGACTTTCTTTAATTTTTTTTTTCAAAGGAGCAACACAGCTGAACAACACAATAATGTGTTTCCAGATCTTATCTGACAATAACTCAAGTTGACTCTCCAAAGGAGCTCTACAGATATGTGGAAAAGTAGAATTGACAGGAATGACCAGAAGAAAGGCATGAGGTCCAGGTTGACACAGTGTTGTACTTCTCATGATTTCCAGTCGGTCAAAGTTTGGAGTGTTTTCCACAGAGCAACACCACACCCAGCCTGGTGTGTCAACCACAGTCACATGTCTTCCATGTACTTCTCCCTCTGCTTTAACAGACCGGGCGGTTCTTCTTCCAACTTCAAAAGCATTTCTGCCCAGAATGATGTTTCCTGTTGTACTTTTTCCACTTGCTTCTCTTCCAAAAACATCTCGACCTCCAACCAGTATGATTCTAATCTCAGAAAGCCTTTTGTCTTTACAAAAATAAATAAATAAAAAATTGCTTATTCACCACCATGGCATTTTAAAACTTGCATGACCCCTATGATTTGACCCCTATGATTATCATTTTTTGAGGCATTCACCATTTACAAGTCATTCTTTTAAAAACATACCTGATGTCATGCTGTCAAGTTTTTCTTCTTCTTTTATTTTAACAGTCTACAGGTTGCCAGTCCTTCAAACAAAATATGAAAAAGAAAGAAAGAAAGAAAGAAAGAAAGAAAGAACGAAAGAAAGAAAGAAATTGCAAATACAGTTTATTTATCTGTAAATCTTTACTCCAAGTCTAATGTTTTATTTCATGATTGACCAGTACCCATTTTAAGACCCAGACTGAATCATTTTAAAGTCCCTACTAAATCTGAACAATTTTGTCACATTTTCTTTTATGTGGAGCTAATGTATAGTATGATTTAAATATGGTGAATTGTGCTAAAAAAAAAAAAAAGCTGAGAATACACACACTTTTAATAGTATAAAAATTAGTTAAATAGTTAATAAATGCATAGTAGAATTGTAGATTTTCTTTCTGTAGATTTCTGTTAAACACCGTTTCTGTGCAACCTTACCAATACCCAACATGCATGCATAATCATTCATATGAGTGTAAATTATGAAGATTTATCTCTTACCTTTCCTCCAGTTTTATATTTGGTTATTAACTAAAGATACACTGACAGTTTGACATGTTCTTCTTTGTAGGGCTGTTTGCAACATATTTTAATCAGTCTTCTAAGTTTACTGATCTAACTGGTTTCAACTGGTTTGTGAAAGCATATTACCTTTATTTATATTCATTCCTTACACAGACGAGCCACTCCCTTATGCACTCACCTTACAGTGGAATTTCTTGTCATGTCTTGTCTTGCTTATATTCCTTCACCCTTCTTCTTGGCATTGACTACGTTTACATGCAACCAAATAGTCCGTTTGTAAATTGGATTGACGGCTCAAACGGACTGAAAAGCCTTCATGTAAATACCTTAATCGATCCGACTGAGCTTAATCGGAATGAAATTTCGATCAGATTGAAGGGGGTGGTTTATTCCTTTTCTAATACGATTGAGAGTGCATGTAAACACTCGATCAGATTGAACCCCGAAACTGAAAGAACTGCGCATGTGCAATGACGCGCGGAACAAACGGCTCTTCCTTTTGAATAAAGTGTTGTATGAATGCGTGTCCTGTCATTATAAAACTCTCCTTTCACTCTGCAACTGTGAAGTGGAGCGGGACAACTTCCCACCAGTCCTTGTTTTGGATTCTCATCCACAGGCAACCCATTTTGGGCACGGGGAGGGGCATTTTTACTGCGTGATAAATATGAGCAGCACCGCACAGCGGTTTATATGTATATTTATCCATAAATGGATACGTATTAATTATACTGTTAAAAACAAATAAAGAAACCGTGTAGGAGAGTGGTTATTATGTGCAAACAGTTGAGAAACTCTATATTTGTGCAGTGTGCGCATGTCAAAAAAAAAATATTCCGATTTGAAGCTTGTGACATATAAACGCGCACATCAACCCGATCACTTTATTTAGCGTTCATGTAAACACTAAATTCAGATTCATCAATCGGAATTAATTCAGTCCGATTGAACCCAAAATTGTGCATATAAACGTAGCCATTGTGCTTTTCCATTGTTTTACTTTTCAAAAGTTGACTGGATTTAAATGAGACTGTGTTGGAAAAACTGATGTTAGTGCTCACAGCGGATTCTGGTCTAGGAGTGTTTGTCTATCTCTGTCTAAAGACCATTCTGAATTCGAGGGGTTAGCAATAATCATTTAATTAAAGGAATTGACAAGATATTGATTACATACTACAGTGTACTGAAAAGAGCCTGAAAAATACTATTTCATTGTTTTTTTACTTCAAAATTTCACATTTAATTCAGTTTGTTACTTGAGTTTGAATTTGTCTACGTTACCTTCAAAACTCAGGATTTCTGTTTATATATGTTTATATTTTATTTATTCATGTTCCACACTGGCAGTCACAGAAAAACACTAACACATAATATTATGATTACGTTTGTTAGAGTTCATGTTCAAAGTTTATTAACCTCATTCTGGGATGGTAATAAAAGACAAGTATAATATTTGGAAAATCTAGTATTTCTATCATCATTTTCTATTTCATATTTCTATTTTCTACATAGTATTCTATATTTGATACGGTTTTAGAATGTGCAAAATTCTATAAATCTTACGTTTGATACTGCCATTTGAATAATTCAAATAACACACACAGTCACTGTAGCGAATCAGCTCAAAGGGGAAATATGAATAATTAATTGTTCACAGACATCCTGGCACCCAGTATGTTTATTGGATGAGGGGTCTGTGACGATTTGTTAATCTAATGAATAACTGATTTGTTAAATCTAATGAAAAATGGTGTGTCTGATTGGTCCAGATGCTACATCACCTAACTTGATGTAACAGAGCTAAAATAAGTGGTTGTGTTCTGTCATCACTTTGCAATCACATCACAATTCAAGGCTTTGTTACACATGCATATACATAACCCATAAGTCTTGCCAGACATTCAACATAATATTTATACCTTTCTTCCTATGAAATAGAAGAAAGTATAGAATAAAGTATATAATTAAAATAAGTTATTCATCTTAAAGGGGTCATATGACGTTGCTAAAAAGAACATTATTTTGTGTATTTGGTGTAATGCAATGTGTTTATGCGGTTTAAGGTTCAAAAAACATTATTTTCCACATAATGTACATTATTGTTTCTTCTCTATGCCCTGCCTTTCTGAAACGCGTCGATTTTTAAAAAGCTCATCGGTCTGAAAAGGGAGGTCAGCTGTGATTGGCCAGCTATCCAGTGCGTTGTGATTGGCCGAATACCTCAAGCGTGTGACGGAAATGTTACGCCC